AAAAAAAAAAAAAAAAAAAACTTACCACAAAATAGCGGAATAAAGGAAACAATAGAAAAGAAAGGGGGTTGAGGCAGAGATAAAGGCTTTGAAGAAAAAGTGGCGCAGGGGAAGGGATTGAGGTTGGAGAGAGAAAGAAGTGGTATTTAAGATTAATTAATTCATCAACTTCTTCAGGTAGTTTTTTTCTCTGGGTCTGTGAAGAAAAATTGATTGTGTTAGAAGGTGAAATGGTCCATGCAATGCGAAGCCATTGAAAGAAGAAGAAAAAAGGTTGGCGATAGTAATTAGGGTAACAAAATTGAATGTGGTAGTGGGAGTAGTAGAAGCTTCGTAGGCGTCGAAACGAAACGAGAAACGACGAAACGACAATTCTAATGTTCATACATACAGTGTTGTAGTTTAGGGACCAACAACGAGGAACGTCGGTTTTCCTATGTTTTTGTTTGGATCGTTGATTCGATTGATTGTTGCGTCTTCCTGCTTCTCACCCTCGTCTCCCACTAGTACTTCCTCCTTCTCCTATTTTATTACCATTCTTTATAAATATCTTAAACTTCAACCCCAAATTAGAATTAGTTCTTTTTATATTAATGTATTAAACACATTTTTAGAATAATGATGTTAGAGTCCAAAATACACTACTGGTTTTTGTTAAAGATTATATTCATTTATTTAGTAAATTTTGAAACAAAAATTTATAAAAAATTAGACAAAGATTAATTTTAATTTTATATTTAATTTAAAGATTAAAAATATATTTAATTACTTTTTATATCTATATAAATAAGAATAATATTATTATTAATAATATTTTTGTTTTGCATTATAGTTTTACCTTTTTATTTTAAAATATATGTAATAATCGTAGATTTTTATGGTGATTTAATATGGAAATTTTTATTGTGTTTTTATTATATATTTATTGTCCAGATTTCTAGCCGTACCGATAGCAATTCTTAGTTTCTATAATTAGAATAATGATTTAGGTCCTATTTCAGATAAACTCGTTAACAAGAATTATAGAAAAATAAGAACACATACTTTTAGAAGCTAAAATTGAAGTGCTTCATAACTTATTTATAAACTCAAAGAAATGTTTTAGCTACTTAGATAACACAAATTTTGTTTTCATTTTTGCAAAATGTTTATAAAAAAAATTATCGGAATGGTGCTATGAATATATGAGAACATTTAAATGTGATTTTGTTTTCCTATTAACAAAAATATGGGTTTTGAGAATAATAATGCGGGTCCGAGGTCGCCGCTTTACGCGTTTTCTTTCTAACAAAGTGTGCAACGAATGACTCAATTCTCCTTCTCCGACCGGCTCAGCAAGGGGTGACCTGCAAAAAAAAACTCCGACGCTCAAGTCAGTGGAGTGTCCTTCAAGATCTTAATGTATTTCAGAAAATCCAACTTTACCTGGTCATTAGTTCTGTATTTATAGGCTTTGTAATTGTCCAGCCCATTGAATGTCATTTAATGCAATATATTTTGTGCCTCATCGTTTGCTAATTTCCTTATATCCAGCACAATCTGTCCGATATCACTCGTTAATTCCTCACCTTTATTACCCATTAATGTCACTGAATGCCTGCCGATCGTTCCTTCCTATTGAACGTGCTGACCGCTTTCTGTCGATCGTCTACACCATATAGTACAATAATAAATAAACACATTTACATAATTTATACATTAATCAATACATTCCTAAGGATTCACTCTATTTAGTCACATACTTACTAATTTTATTTCAAAAATCTTAAAACATTTGATCCCAAATATTTATAATAAAAAAAGACAATATCATGCAAAACCTTTAACTATTAAATGTTTAATATCCAAAATTTTCAAGTTTCTAAAACAGTTTTGCCAAAGGGTTTGTTTGCACAATTAGAGATTTTACTTGTCTAATGAACTCATTTGCTTGTATAGTAAATGTGTATAATTTCAAAAGCTCGTTAAATATATTAGATAAATCACTCGATTTATTTTGAGCAATTTTACTCTCTTCTTGTATAATTAGTTTAAAAATGAAATCAAATAATACAAAATGATTCAAAAGATGTATTATAATTGATTAATACTCACACATAGTTACACAAATACCTCACATAATATTACAACTCATACACAATCAAAGTATATCAATATATCACAAATATTTTCACAACCAATCGTTCAATAAAAATTACTAGTAGAAAAACATATTAGCTTCTTTTATATGAATTGTGTAACAAAATCTTATATATTTCTAAAAATCTTAGTTGACATGATCACAAATAGATAAATATTTATTTTAAACCATTTTGAATCCATGCCACCGTAAAAACACCACATGCATACAATATTTTAAAAATAACTTACTATTATGACAATTTTGATAAGGTTGAATTGTTATGTTTTAAGTCACTACTCTTATAGTAGTCTTTAATAGTCTAAAAAAATATGTAAACAAATCATAAATTTAGAAAGAATATTGAGAAAGGGAAGAAAATAATTTTCTATATATAATAACTTTTGCAAAATGAACTTTGATTATTTTTTTAGTTATAATTTAATATTTTAATAATAAAATAATTATTAACTATTTAAAAAAACACTCCTAGGTTTAACTATTTTTAAAATTTTATTACAATTACAACTCCAAAAAGACAATATATTGTTATTCTTTTAGTCAATTTTTATTTTTACTCCCAAAAATTAGTTACACGCACCTCTCTCTCGTGATTATTTTCTCTTTTGAAAAGTTTGGCAAGCAAATCCCCACGTAAACCTTAATTCCTGAAATTGCTATATTTTTAAAAGTAAATTTAAATGAATGTAAGGGGAAAAAAATACTCTTTTCTTGATAATCTTATATAATTAAATGTTTCTCCTTTCTTTTGTGTATATTGACATGATATAATTTGTTTCTTATATTCCACTGTATTTTTTTTTACACAACATTGTTTTCTCTTTGAATGAGATTTAGGTTTAAAAATACTAAAGATAGAATAATTGTCGTTCATATTTTGTATGGCCAGTGCTTTTATTTATTTATTTGTTATGAATGTGGTTGCTATTATTATTGCCATCAGCACAATCAAATTAGTATAGTTATTGCTCGCATGTTCATTATTATAGCTAGTCATGATTAATTTATAAGAAGGTAGAGCATAATATGATGCTTCAAAATGTTTATTGTAAAAGGGAGTATTAGAATGGATAGGTATATTAAAATAAAAAGATTGAGAGTTTTAATATTAAAATAATTTAATAATATAAATATAATTTTATAAACACGTCTCACTATTTAAAATACTGGTTATCTTTCTAAAACTCATTATATGAATTATCTCTCTCTTCTCTCTAAGATTTTCAACCCCTTAGATATTTGTTGGACGATTAGGAGGTGGCTAGGAGATCACGACAATGTGTTCACTTTCAACCGACCAGTCTTACATACAGAGTAAGACATTTTTTGCTCATATTCTTTAGTTTTCAGTTTAAGACACATAGAAAAAGGATTTCTCGCATGTGTTATTCAATCTCTCTTGCTTTGTCGATCAGTGGTCCTAACAGCATACCTTGATCATGATTCCATTGTTTGTAGACAAAATCGGTGTCTTTCAATCTGTGGGAGTTGTCTAAGGGTTCTATAGAGTTGTTGGTCTTCAAATAGGTAAGGAAAACTAATATTGTCCATACTTTAATGCTATGTTGTGAGGAATTATGTTTAGTTGAATATGTCATTATTGAAATGATTGTTGTGTGAGGTTTACATGTTGATGAATAAGGTTGGTCATGTTTGAGAATTTGTACTGGTTTGAATGTTTCATGTTGTTTTAGAGTGTAAACGGTATCGATTGATGTAGTATTGGGAAGTAAAGAATGGGGTGAGTTATATGTTGGTTTTTGGTCTAAAAAAGAAGTTTTGATAGATGAGAAGTTGAGGTAATGGTCAAATGGGGAAAATTGTATTTTTGGGCTTGTGTTTATAGTAATTTGAAACTTGTTTAAGCTTTAAGTTAAGTGAAATTTGATGTAGAACTAGTTGGTAGTTGATAGGTTGAGTTTGTATGATTTTTTATTCAGGGTTTTGACTAGTGAAATTCTAAAGTAGAATGTTTGTGATAAAGTGAGGATTTGGGGTCTGTTGTTGGATCAATTTTGACTTGTTTAGACCCTTAGTTTGTCAAAGTTCCATGTTAGAAAGTTTGGAATTGAGTTTAGGCACTTTTAAGTAGTTGAATTGGTTTAATGCACCTAGGTTTTCTGGTTTAATAAGCAACGTGATACTTCATTTTAACTATAAATATGTTTTAGCATCAATTCAAGTATTTAAGAAATATGTTTAGGTTCTTGTTTGATTTTAAAATGAAATGTGTGACATGTTGAATTATAATTGCATTATTTGATTTGTTTACAATATTAGTTTACCCTTATTGTGTAGAATAGAAAGTTTTGTTTCAATAATCTCTTATTCTTGTAAGAATATTATTATGTTTTTTGAAGGGTAAGAATTTTTTTAGGGATGTTACATTAATTATATTGACCACCTATTAAAATATATGTCTTTATAATTAATTATACGTAAATCATAAGTTATTAAATTAATAAAGTATAAGAGATTCATTAATTCTATTTGAGTATGTAAAGTGTAAAAGAAAACAAAAACTCTTTTTTTTAATTAATTTTATTTTTCTTAATATTATAAAATTTGATAATAACATATCCAATATTTAAAATGTAAAAAGAAAAAACTTAATTAAAAGTGGTAAGTTTGAAGAGAATAAACTTTTTAAGAAGAGTTGTATACATAAAGGAAAATATTGATTAATACGAAGTGATAAAAAAGGAGATGAGATGATTTTCGGAACTTGATTTTTAGAAACTGAACAGTAAAAGAAACTGTTCTTGGCACTTTTATTTTTCTAAACTTACTCTGTAGTGATTTTGTTTCATTAAGATATAAATTATAATCCTAATTCGAATAGTTATGATAAACACATACTCTCGTACCAAACATTCTTACGAACTTAAAAACTAAATAATCAAAATATAACACTAGCTTTGTTTACCTGTTTGGAAAGTTTCAACAACTTTGTCAAACACATTATCCTTGTTTTAGCTTACAGAACTCCATAACTGTTTTATGAAAAAAATTAATCGGATGATGTTGTAGATCTCATTGCAGTGATCGTTTAGGCACATACTGATCGTTAAATAGATGTTTCAAGAGTAAAAATTCTTAAAGAAAAAGAAGAAAAAATTAAAAATGAGTTATAGAAAAATAACGAGTGTTTTAAAGAAGACATGATTATAAAATTTTATTTATATTATTAAATTATTTAACATTAAAATACTTGTTTTCATTATTTTAAAACATTTATTAATTATAATACTTTATTTTCTAGGTTCTTATCATATATATTCATCGTTCTCGTATTAAATTTAAAAATTAAATATTAGCTACACATATTAATATTCAACAAATTT